AGAAAACCGCCAAGCTCAGAGAGCACCAAGGACCCCACAGTTCTCCTTCTCCTTTTCAAGCCCCACTCCTTTCTAGCACTGATGCTGTTAGCCCTTAGACTTATATACCGCTTCACAGTGCTTTCCAGCCCTTCCTAAGCAATTTACAGAGTCAGCCTCTGGCCCCCAACAATTTGGGTCCTCATTTTACCCACCTCGGAAGGATGGAAGGCTGAGTCAACCACGAGCCTGGTGGGATTTGAACTGCCCAATTGTAGGCAGCTGGCTGCAGAAGTAGCTTGCAGTGCTGCACTCTAACCACTGCCCCACCGAGGCTTGTAGCTGGGTCGTGAAATGTCTGCAAGGAAACAACCTAGGTCAGGGAGCCATCAGCCTTGGATATCTTCTGCTGAGACGGGCTACGTTTTTGCAAAGTCGTTGAGGCTGGTTCATCGAACCTCAGTGAGGCCCTACTGTCTGCACAACATGTCTCCCTGGATTAGTAAGGGAGGGGTTGAACCCATAACCATGTCTCCCAGGCTAATTAATATCCCCCCACCCCACCCCAGTCAGTTCTGTCTGGTTTAATTGCTAACCATCTGCTGGAGAAGAATCCGTATGTAAGGGCTATAAAAATTGGGGATTTGATCACTCCGCATCCCAGCAGGCACAGCTGCCCAGGGGTGAAAGGGTAGAAGAGGACAAAGTACGGTCACCTCCTTAACTCTGCCCACAACCATAGCAAATCTCAACAAGGCCACCCCATTTTTTTGTTTCAATCGTTTATCTAATGACTAGTTCGACACCCGTGCTTCGCTACGAAACTATGTGGTCGGGCTTAGTTTGGGGGGAGGAAAATAAGAGGGGGGGGGAATTCTGCCTCTGCCTACCAGCATTCACCTGGCTAGCATCCTGTCTGTGTGGGAGAGAGTCGAGGGCTGTTTGGAAACTGAAAGAATATTTGCTTTTTGAGCAAGAAGGAGACAGCAAGGAGCCTGGGCGTGGCTTAGCTCAACCGTTCTGTACTAAAGCTGCTTGGTTGCTGTGAAACTGAAACTCCTCTCCTCTGCTTGTGTTTTGCACGTGGAACAGATTTTTTTTCAGGTGGGGAGGGGGAGTAGAGCTCCTTAGCATCAGAGTGTGTTGTTAATAATAATAATAATAATAATAATAATAATAATAATAATAATAATA